AAATACTATTAAATATAGATGGAAAATTCAGGACAACTGTTAACTAAATCAATACTTCTGAAGTAATTAAAATGCATTTTATCTTTCTAAAAATATAACTAAGACAATCTTCATTCAAACAAAAAAGTTAACAGCAACCAAATTCATTATATTGTGTTTATAATTTCCTAGTTATAGATATGGAAGCAGAAGTGGCAGCCACTTCCTAAACTTTATGCCTCTGGAATCTCTCTGAACTTTGAAAAATCATAATATCAAAAGGCTTCAGGTCTTTTGTTCATAGGGTCACTGTGAGTTGTGCTCAACTCAACGGCAATCAACATCATCAACAAAAGGTAACCCTTAACTACAAGCTTTATTGAGATCTAGATGTTTTCACAACAAACTATTTCAAAGCACTACTTCTTCTCATCACTAGTTTCTTTAAGCACTCCAATTTTTATTATTACTTAAGACTTGCCCGTGAATGCTTCTTTTAACCCCTATCTTGCACATACCCACGTGGGCACCCTACTTCCACATGCAGAACTGGCACTACAATTCTGAGGAAGATAAAATGTGCACATTTATGTCCTGCCTCATTTCCCCCAATGCAGTTAGCATCAAGGTGGTTAAGTCTTCAAAAAGAATTTCATGAACAACTGTAATAATGTTGATTTTTAGTTTTTCTCAAGATCATAGTAATTTTCCTAAATTTACTAAAGCTTTCAATAATATACCTGAATAATTCCCACGCCAACCTTCTTTAGGGATAAAATATCTGCCTAACTAGAGATGTGTACACTTTTGTAAATAAATATAAATTCACATAGTATGCAAAAGTTTATTCAGTGACCATTATTCCTTAAAATACTTCTGCATATACAACTAATGAAAGGGTCAGAACACAAGTCATATCTCCTGACAGCTGAGATATCCAACCTGACTACCACTCACAATAAAGAGTCAGGCTATAAACAGGGGTCTAAAACTTTTCAGTCTAAAGCTCTACATCCTTCCAGTAACAGCTTGACAATTAGATGATTTTAATCAACAACAGAGATACCTATTTAACCATTTCTTATAGATTAAAAATTAAAGAAGGTAGATTTTCCTTCCCTTTTTTTAAAAAGCTACACTCCGTCTCCAAATAGTCTTAAAAAGAGGTCACTATGAAGAAAAGTAACTTAAGACTTTGTCATTCAGGAGTGGCATCCACTTCCTAAACAACATGCCTCTGGAAACTCTATGAACTTTGATAAATGTCGATGGTTGTAGAGGGGCTACAGATTTTTTTCAAAGAGTCGCTATGAGTCGTTCTCAACTTGAAGGTAATCAACAACAACATTAATAAGGGAAGAAAACAAAATTCTACTTTCTCTTTAGCACAAACCTGATACTAGGCCCAGTGGTACATAAATGAAAACAAAGAATTATGAAGTAGGCTGCATCTGCTTTTCTACCAGGACTGGCCTGAGATTATCCACCCTATGAAAAAAAGTTTATTCGGTTTTCCTCCTACTATTCAAATAATGGCACCTCAATCTTAATTTGTCAGTGTACCACCATTCAGACTTGTCTAGCACTTTTCCTATCTTAGCAGGAGAAAACTTAGATGTGTTTTTTCACTCTATGTGATATAACCCACCAAAAAACCAAACTTACTGGCATTAAGTTGATTCCAACTCACACTAAACCTTCACTGTCTCCTCAAGAGTTCTGTAGCTTCAGAAACTGAGTGAAGGTTCAGTATGAGATGGAATCATCCATGGGGTTTTCAGAAGCAGTAAACACACGAGAGGAGATTGCCTCTCTTTCTCCCCAGAGCAAATGGTGGATTTGAACCACATGCCTTAGGGATTGCAGTGCTGCTTCTTAAACTACCAGAGCTAGGAAACCAAAAAACCAGAGTGACTCACTTGGTTGTGATATTACTTCTATTGCCCTGGTTTGGAACCAAACTGCAGTATCTCTAATGGAGAAATTAACTAATGCCTCTGAAAACCCCCTGGAGGGTCAGCTATCAGTTAGTTCCAACTCAAAGGTAGACAACAACAACAGTACATAGAGTTATGTTTACATTACACGACAATCTATTAAGTATACAACAGCCTTATGGAAAAAGTCTGAAATATTGTTAGAATAACCAGAATGTGAAATAGAGACATAAAGCAGGCACACTGCTGGAAGATGGTATTGATAGGCCTGCTCAATGCAAGGATGTCACAAACTTTGAATGTATTTTTAAAATCTCCACTTACGATACACAATAAAGTGAAAGACACTAACACAAGACAAGCCTGAACCTGAAAATGTCTAGCAGAATTCCATTTTCTCCAAACGTCAACCTGTTAGCTGTTTTTATTCACAATTTTTATCATCCTAACTCTATCCTGAATAGTATCTGGTCTTTAAACAAATGATCTATACAAATTATTATGAATTATCATTCACGAAAAATGTCACAACAGAAATTATCCAGGGATCCGGAAACTTGAAAATGAGACCCAATATAATCGCTCACCTGGCTATGGAGTGACTCTGTATCATCCCCAGCCACACTGGCTAGTTTCTCACCACTCCCCTTCTCAGTTTGAACAGTGGCATCTTGTTTTCCAGAGTTTTGGTCTACTGTACTGGTCCCCTGATCACAAACATTCTTTACAGTCTGAGTTGCTGCTGAAACTGTTTCTGGGGCGCACAGGGAATGCTCCATGGTCTGGATTCCTATGTTATTTTGGCTGGGTTTTTGAATCAAGGCCTTGCTGAGTATTTCCTGATTGTTATTCTGTCCTCCTTTCTGGTCTTCTGGGACATCAGTCTCCATGGCTTCACCTTGAGGACTGGGTAGGCTCTGTGTGGCCATCTGCTGAGGGGTAGGGGAAGCAGAGTCTTCGGCAACACCGATGAGCTGCAAAGGCTGTTGACTCTGCCTGTTTCTTTGGTCATCTTCCAATTTTTCCTTATCCATTTTTTCTTGAGTATTTGGCAAATGGAGCAAGTTTCCTCTGAAAAATCAAAAAAACATTAAAAACATGTCAGGTTGAGGAAAAAGCTGGCCATATGCTAGGTTTCAATGCTTGCAGGATGTAATATTAGGTTGCTATGCATATTACCTTGTGAGGTTTCTTATAATTTTACAGCTGTAGAAAATAACAGTTATTATCATGATAAATAATCATAAAGTTTTTCCTATAAACTTTGAAAAAAATCACAGGAAAAGGAATTAAACAAAAGAAGGTCTTTCTTGAAGTCATATACAATGAAAGGTATATACTTAGAAATGATTAATATGGTCAAAATGTTTCATCTGGTTTTATGATTGATTCTATTATTTCTTAATGGATTCCTAGCATCAGAGGTACTAGTTACCCTCTCCTGACCAGTAATTTTAGCAATCTGTAAAGGATAAAGTTGAAGAGTGAAATTCCAGCTTTACTATCCATACTGATTTATCTACAGTCAGCATTGTCACATTTCTTCAAAGATAGTTCTTGGATTACAGTGCACTTCTTTTCAACATTATTCTCATTTGCTAATTGGTAATTCAGTCAGTTATTCAACATTACTATGTCACTTAATACATTTTCTTTTGTAACAGAGGACATGATTTCTTTAACGTCTGAAACATTTGATTCCCCAAAATACCAAGGAGCTGACATTTCAGAATCCTAACACTCAGTTAAAGTAATGAGATGTTTCTTTGAAATATTTCTATCTAAAGAATGTAAAAATTATGTTATAAATACCACTATTAGAAATATAAATACTGACAAATTAAAAACCAACTAAATTCGAATAATGACAGATAGGTCTTTTAAAAGTTATTTTCAGCAAACTCTGCTGGTCTAGTAGCAAGAAGATGTACTGCAATCCCAGAGGTGTACACGGTTCAAATTCACCAGATGCTCTGATGGAGAAGGAGGAACAATCTGCTGCTGTACCAGTCAGATCCGATTTGACGGTACACAAAACACACACACACAAATAATAAAGTAAAATAAAAAATTTAAAAAAGTCTAAAACAAAAGTTATTTTAATGCTGTTACTACTTATAGCAACCCTATGAACTTTTCCCATCACATGCCACTACCACGATCTCGAACATGTTTAAGCTCTTAACTATAGTCACTGTATTAACCCATTTTGCTGAGAGTCTTCTGCTCTTTCACTGATCCTCTACCTTTTCCTAGCATGATGTCTTTTTAAGGGCTGGACTCTTGTCACAACATGCCAAAAATAAGTGAGATGAGGTTTCATCTCACTTGGTTGCATTTCTTCCAAGACAAATTTGTTTTTTTGGCGATTCACTGGATATAAAATATTAGGCCAACACCATAATTCAAAGGCATTAATTCTTCTTTGGTCTCCCTTACTCATTTTCCAACTTTCAGATGCATACAAAGAAACTGAAAATACTATGGTTTGGGTCAGGTGCACCTTGGCTTTTAAACTAGCATACTTGCTTTTTTAACATTTTAAAGAGGTCTTTGACAGGAGCTTTGCCCAGTGTAACATGTCTTTTTGTTTATTTTTACTTATTTTTTTAAAAAATTTACATCGGATTGCATACAAGTTTGTATACATTCTGTTTTGTACTCTTTCATTCACAGTTTCATACATTCTCATTCATTATGTTTTGATTTCTTGACTTCAACTCACATGTGCTGATTGTTAATGAAGTCATTAATGACTTCAGTCTTTTCTCCACCTATCATGATGCTGTCTATTGGTCCAGTGTTGAGAACTTCTGGTTTCTTAATGCTAAGATGTAATCCATATTGAAGGCTATAGTCTTTGTTCTTCAGTTAGTGCTTTAAGGTTCTTTATTTTGTGTAAGCAAGGTTCTATTATTTATATAATACAAGTTGCTGATGAGTCTTTCTCCAATCCTAATGCCACATGATTCCTCATTTAGTTCTGCCTCTTGAATTCTGTATACAGGAAACTTAAATGTTCCCAATATAGAATACTCACATATTATAAAGAAGTTAATTCTGATAAGGGTAAGGAGTAGGACAATGAGCTCAAAATCAGGCAGTTTAAATCAATCAGCTCCTCAGAACAAAGATGGGCAATCCCTCTCGTGTATGGTTCTAATTCGATGGCACTTAACAGTAATGACTCATTATTTAAACCAAAGAAATGCCTTCTAATTTTAATCGGTGTCACCTGCTTCAGTTATGATAAAGGATTATGAGGTAAAGAGATTAGGGAGGAAATGCTGACTTCATCAAATCTGGCTAACTACAATGTGGAATGCTAAGCATCCAAGACATTCTTTAAAATGAAAATATACCCTATAGGAAACTAAGGGGAATAAATGGTTTGCTAAAAGGAAATCTAATTTCTATAAGTAAAAAAGAAAAAATATTCTCACATAGAATTTACATAATTCTATATTTCCAAATTTTTTTTAAATTTGTAATTTCTTTTTAAAAAATAAATATATTCTTATTATTCTGATTTTAACAAAACTGTAAAGGCTGGGTTTTCATTCATTCATTGAACATTTTCCTCCCTCATCCCTTCCCCCCCAGTTCACTGTGTAATGCACCTCTTGTTCCAGATTGTTGTTATACATATAATATGTAATCATATATTCCTTTAACAGTTCTTCCCCACATCTGTTCAAATCCTGTGCTCACTTTCTACTCACCTATTTTTTTCTTATTCTCCCCTCACTCCTCATGTCAGTCCTATTTTACAACAATGTTATGCAGTATTTGTCCTTTTATGACTGAGATATTTCACTTAGGATAATGTCTTCCAGGTTCACCCATGTTGTGTAGTGTTTTATGAGTTTACTGTTTTTCAAAGCTGTGTAATATTCTATTGTGTGACTATACCACGATTTTTCTATGCATTTTTTTATGGGCAGTTAGGCTGCTTCCATCTCTTTGCTATCATAAATAATGCGGCAATATACACGGGTGTGTATACATCTGTTTGAATCATGGCTCTGGTTTCTTTAGGGAATATTCCCAGTAGTAGAACTGCTGGATCAAACAGTATTTCTATTTCCAACTTTTTGAGAAATCACCATTCTTTCTTCCAGTAGTATCTTTTTACATTCCCACCAGTACTGATTAAGAGGTTTTCCAAAGGTGTAATTTAAGCAGACTCCTAGATCTTTCTCCACTGGAAAAGATGGTTAAGTTTGAAGCAAAACCCACCTACAGGAGACCAGTGAAATGTTTAAACCATTATACCACTAGGACTCCTTAAAACATTTCTTAAAATTTCTCAAGACATCTTATATATGAATCTACCCATCTATACCCCATAGACTCTCAACATTAAAAGCAAACTCAAATTCACAATAGCAGTAAATACTAGATTTTTATGTAATCATTTTGTGAATCAATAGAATTTAAAAAATGCTGTGAAAAAAAAATCCTTACCTGGTTGGTACAGAGGGAGGATCTTGACTTTGTACGTCGTCTTGCCTGGTTTCACAGTCACAGCTAAATGCAGACGTGGTCTTCTGGGGACTAAGATAATAAATTAAAGCAACATAGTATTTCAGTTCTAGAAGGAAAGATAACCGCTAGAGGTAATCTTTTTAAAGACAGAAGGAATCAAATCCTTTCTTCCCAAATTCAAAGCCTGTCTTAAGGCAAAATAACCTGAGACGTGCTGATATATACTAAGTGAATACTGCCAAAATAACCTGATACCTGCTTTAAATTAGAATAAAAATTCCCTAGGAAAGAATCATAGGAATAAGGCAAAGATGCTTATTCAAAAATTTAAAATTCACTGCAGAGAAAACATTTGAATTCTGGCTCAGTGACTCCTCCCTAGCATTTCCAAGTCTGTAAGTTGTAACAGGAAAGCAATGGCCATTTTATCCCAAGAAACTACTGGTTAGCAATGCTATGGAATACATCACCAGACCTCCTGAAAGATCTTAAGGATCCCGTTAAGCTCCTTAAGAAATCATAAAGACTTAATTAGCAAAATACAGAAAGTAGGGAACTTTCTTTATAGGACAAATAATAAACTCAACTTCTTCAACAGATAAATATTAAGGTAGAAAAAAGTGGCCCAAAAATTTAAGACAGATTTTAGAGATAACTCAATAAAAACATGTTAACTCATTTGCTTCCTTCTGATAAGTAATTGTGCCCATTAACAAACTGTACCCAGCATATCAATATGTTCAAATTAAATACAAATCTATCTTCAACTAGTAATATGATAGACTCTTCAATAAATGAGGATTCTAATCTACTAATAAGTACTCAAGTGCTTATTAAAAAGCCCAAAGGTATGAAAGTAACATATCAAAGACATTGCTAAAAATAGATGAAAGCTTCAGCAGGGGGCAAAAACTGAACTTTAAACTTAAGATAACATATAATATTTTATCTGATCCATCAAGCAAGAACTTTTTTTTTTTTAGAAATTCAGATTTTTCTGGTTTTGTACTTAAACTACATTACTTATAGTACCTCCCTAAAATGATGATTTAAGTATCCTTACTTATGTCACCAACTGTTGCTAATATTTTCATGCTGGATGATTCTTGCCAGACATAAAACAATTCTACTCTCTCTCACCAGATGGTAAAGCTTAACCACGCAAGCCTCAGACAAAAGTCATATTCACCCTCAAAACATCACAACATTCAGGATAAAGTGAAAGAACTAACCCAACGCAGAAGTTCATCTGGGCAGGCCAACAAGAAATGTCCTGAGATTGTGGCTGAGTTTGAGGGTCTCTGGAGCACAGCCCACAGTTACCTCTCACTAAACATGTTCTATTTCCTTATTAATAGTAACAACAGTCTCAGTCTCTGTCTGAGCAACAATAAATGAACAAAGGAAACTCTCACTTGAACAGAAGAGAGTAAAAGATAGACTTTACAATACATTCATTTTAAGTATCACAAAAGCCTTACTGATCTGAAATTATTAAGAAATATCAGAGACTCAACACATTCCTAAATTATTATTTTTATTTTTTTTTAAGGTGAGAAAAATTTATTACATTTAGAATTAGCCCGCTGGACTCAGTTTAGATGATCCCAATTTTGTTGGCAACATCCAAAGCATCATAATCAGGAGCAAGTCGAACATAGGCCTTCATTCCTAAATTCTTTATGTGAGAGTAATATCCTCTGCTGATAAGTCATCTTCCCCTTATAACCAGTATCTTTGTAGTAAAGAGTTCTAAATAGCAATGAACTCTAGTTACCTGGCAACAGCTTCAGCAACAGCAGTTTTTCTTTCACCAGTTAGAGGCTCTGAATAAATCAAAGACAAGGAGAGAAATATAATTCAGTTAGTACCATACTGCAGGACCTTTATACTAATATTTGCTCTTAACAAAAACAAACAGAAATAAGAATAGTAAATAAACATAAAAAACATGTTATAATTTACTTGTATATGTTATTTCTCACATTCACCAACCCATTTATTTTCCTAAGCAAGATTAATCAGTTTATCTATAAATACAATAAATCATCAGGTAATAACAACTGAAAATGAAAATTAAACTTCTGAATCATAATACATTTCTACCCATGCAAGAATTTAAAAATATACCTGTGTTTATTTACCTACACATAAATGTTTGTATCTACATATATGAAAATGTTTTAAGTTCAAGTGCAAATGTAATTTTTTTCTTCTTTTACTGGTGATTTGAGTAAAAATTTACAAGCAAATTAGTTTTTCATTCAAACATTCTTACAAATTTTGTTTTATAACATTAATGTGCAGGAGAAAGATGACCAGCTAAGATCAGCAATGAACAACATTATTAAGAGTATCCACAATGTAATTCACACTTCTATCACCTCTCATCATTCTGATCTAACTCATCTATCCTACTTATTCCTGCCTTCAGAGTTTTATCCTTGAGTAAATGTTGCTCTTTTGACCTTATATCTTAGGGGGTATTATGTTATGCATCACTGAGTCTAGGTATGTTACAATATGTATCTGATTCCAAACTTCCTTAATGTTACTTGTCACCTTATGTTGTCAAGTACCATGGGATACATAACAATCCTCAATTTCTTCATTTGTATTCAGGGATTAACGTGTTTACGCAAACACACATACATGAATAATATTTTTATGAACATGTCTTCACTGTATGCATAGTTATTATCCTATCCTGATAGCCATATATTTCAAAATAGATCTCAAAATGTTCTTTTTGGAGATGAATGTGACATCATTCCTCCTCAACATTTCATTCCTTGCACAGCACACCATAGATTATATGATCTACTAAATCTGATGCAAAATGGTCAATATCAAATCTAATGCTCAGTAATGCCTAAAATGTCATTTCTCACTTCTATATTTTCCATTTTGTTTATGAACATAGCAAATTTTCCTGGATTCATATGTTTCACATTCTAATTATTAATGGATGTTAATGGAGCTGTTTCTCCTCATTTTTAGTCTTGGCACATTAGCAAATGAAGGTTCTTCATTAGGTGAAATCTTTACTCCATCCTTTTTTTTAAGATATATTCTACTTTGAGAAGGTAGCTATTTCCCAACTGAATTCGAAGTACCTTCTCACCTCAAGGGCTCATCTTCCACCACTACACTGAACAGTGTTCTGTTACAATTCATAAGGTTTTTTTGAGGGCCTGTTCTTTTAGAAATAGACGGCCTGTCTTGATGCTTAGTCTGTCTTAATCTGGAAGCTCCATTGAAACCTGTCTGATATGGGTGACTCTGCTGATACCTGAAATACTAGTGGCCTAACTTCCAGAATCACTGCAACACACAAGGCACCACTGTATACCAAACCAAGAGATCAGTGCTGGCGGAGTTTCTCAGGAATAATACAAAAATCATTATCATAAAATATTTAATTATCATGGATAATAAATGAGATAACTTCAAAATGCAGTACAAATTCTGAAAATGAAATATAGTTTTTAAAATATGGACTCACATCTCTTATTATCATCAAATTTAAGAGAGTGAATAGTCCATTTTATTAAAGCTCGTCAATGTACATTCCTAGTAATATCATAAATGGAAAGAACTTCTTCCATAAATAGATCCCAGAAAACAGAAAGTTCTATCTTATAATTAAGAACTAGACTTTTGAAAAAGTAAATAAAATACCAGATATTATAATCCTGAATCTTACATAGAAACATTACCGTCTTTCCGTATCTAGGACCTTCACAGCTGGAACTATAAAACTTAAGTTCTAGATACAGTTAACGCTTCCACATCTCATCTTCCCAAAATGATATTCAAGGCTTCACCTATTCCATAATTCTTGCTTGGAGCTAGGCTAACTGGAAATGCCTAGTAAAGTCTCCTATAAAAACATTTTGTAACTTTTTTCTATCCATAAAGCAATAATTAACAAATAAATATTTTAAACAACATACATTAGCACTATTATATGCCATCGAGGTGGGATAACTCACTGCAACTCTATGAACAATGGCTCTGAATTCTGCCCTATCCTGAACTAATCTCATCATCTTCAGCACACTTAATCCCATGGCCAAGGTTACTGTGTCAATCCATCTCATCCATGGTCTTCCTCTCTTGTGCCAATCTTCTACTTTTCCAAGTATGATGTCTTTCTCCAAGGTCTGGCCCCTCCTGACAACATGCCCAAAGTATGTAAGAAAGAGTTTCAAAATCCTTGCTTGCCTCCAAGGAGCAACTGGTGTCTCAACTTCCCCAGTACAGACTTTTTGTTCTTTTAACAGTCCACAGTATGTTCAAGACCGTTCTGATTCTTCTTCAGCCATCCTGTCCAGCTTTCTGCACAGCAATCAACTGAGAAAACCATGGCTTGGATCAGGTGCACCTTAATCTCTAGATTGACATCACTGCTCCTTAGCACATAGGAAGGGTCCCTGACAGCAAATTCTTCCAATTCAACATGTTTTGGTTTCCTGACTGCTGGTATCATGAGTGTCAACTGTGGATCTAAGCAAGATTAAACTGTTGTCAAGCTCTCTTTTTTCTCCATCTACCACAACGCTGCCTGTTGGTATTTATTTTCTTGATGCTGAGATGGAATCCTTATTGAAGGCTGCAGTCCTTGATCTCCTGCAGCAAGTATTTCAAGTCCTCCTCAGTTTTCAGTAAGCGAGCTTGTGTCAACTGCGTAACGAAGGTGGTTGTCTTCCTCCAATCCTGTTATCACACTGTTCTTTAGTCAGAATCTCAACTATATGTTCAGTACACAGATTGAAAGGCTTGTTGAAATCTGTCAGCTCATATACCATTAATTCCTAGGGCCTTATTTTTTGACAATTTTTTCAAACAGCTTAAATTTCCTCCTTTATTGACATGTGTTCTTGATCATATACTACTTCTTGAAAAGGTTTTCTATCAGCCACTTCTTTTTGGCAGTGACTCCATGTATTCATTCCTTCCAATTTCTTTTAATGCTTCCTGGATCATTCAAGATTTTTGCCCATAGCATCTCTAAGCATTGCAGCTCCAGTCTTGAATTTATTCTTTAGTTCCCTCAGCCTGAGAAATGCCAAGCAAGTTCTTCCCTTTTCATTTTCTGACTCGAGCTCTTTGCCCATTTCATTTTAATACTTTGCTTTATCTTCTCAAGCTGTCCTTGAAATCTTCTGTTCAGTTCTTTAATGTCATAATTTCTTCCCTTAGTTTCTTAGCATTCTAGTGAAACATTCAGAGAGACTTCTGACATCATTTTGATTGCTTCTTCCTCCTCCGTTTCTGCATTGACCTTCTGCTTTCTTTTTGGATGATATGATTGATATCGTTCCACAGTCCATCTTGTCTTTTTTTATTAGTGGGCCTCAAACTTGTATTTGAGATGGTTTTTAAATTCAGTTATGACAGATTCCAGGTCGTATTTATGTTCTAGTGGATTTGTTTTCCTTTTCTTTAGCTCCAATTTGAACTTTCACAGGAGTTAATGGTCTGTTACACTGTCAGCACCTGGTTTGGTTTTCAGAGCTGGTATTCAACTTCTCCAATGATTCTTTCCACAGATGTGATCAATCTGATCCTATGTGTCCACCATTCATAAGTCCACCGGTTGAGGTCCATATGTATAGCCATTGTTTGTATTTTTTTAAAGTTATCTGCAATGAATAAGCCATTGATTGTACAAAATTCTATCTTTCTATCTCCAGCCTCATTTCTGCCACCAAGCCTGTATTTTCCAACTACTGGTCTTTCTTCTTTGTTCCTAACTTTTGCATCCCAGTCATCAATTATTAATGTATCTTGACTGCATATATGATTGATTGCAGAATGCAAAAACTCGTATAAATCTACTATTTTCTTCTTTTGGCTTTAGCTGCTGGTGCACATATTTGAACGACAGTAGTATTAACAGGTCTTCCCTGTATGCACATGGATAGTCTCCTGTTATTCACGACACTATACTTCAGGAAGGATCTAGAAATGTTCTTTTTGTCTATGAAAGCAACCCCACTTTTCCTTATATTTTTCATTCTGGCATAGTAGATCATATGATCATCTGATTCAAAATGGCCCAAGTCAATACATTTCAGCTCATCAATGTCTTATTATTGTTGCTGTTGTTAGGTGCTGTTGAGTTGAGCACAACTCAGAGACCCCGTGAATAACAGATCTGAGCCCTGTTCTATCCTGTGCCATCATCACAATCTCTGACACATTCAAGTCCACTGCTGCAGTGGACCTCAATCCACCTGGTTAAAGATCTTCCTCTCTTTCACTATCCTTCCACCTTTGATATTCCTCTTCAAGGACATATATTTGAATGACAGTAGTATTGACAAGTCTTCCTTGTATGCATATGAGTATTACTCAGTAGCTCACAAAGTTGTACTTCAGGGTGGAACTATGAATGCAACCTTCATTCCTGGCACAGTAAATCATATGATTTGTCTGATTCAAAGAGGGCAATGCCAGTCTATCCCAGCAAATGCCTACTATGTCTTTATATGCCTCTTTAGGTACCTCTTCTTGGTAGCCAACATAAGAGAAAAACCACTTAAAAACTGGTTTCTCTGCTATAAAAACTAACAGTTGAAGATCACTGACATTCTGCCCAGATAACAGATGACGTTGTTGTTGTTGTTATGTGTCACTGAGTCAACTACAACTCATAGGGACACCATGTACAATAGCTCTGAACCCTGCTCTATTGTGACTGTCTCTGATACACCTACTATCATTACCCTGGTTACTGTGTCAGTCCATCTCGCCCAGGGTCCTCCTCTCTCCTATGCTGTCCCTCAACCCGTTCTAGCATGGTATCCTTCTTCAAAGA